AGCAGTGGAGCCAAGAGGAAATGCCATGCTTTTTTGCAATGGAGACAAGGAATATGCAGTGGTCAGCAACATCAAACGTAGGCTCACAGGAGGCCTGAATTTCCTAGCCTGTGGTCAGAGGGAGAAATCCCAGCTCTTGGTGTGGAGGCATTTCTCATTGCTAATGGAAAATATGTAAGGTTGTCCTTCAGTGAGTGTTCTTTCAGATGTCCTCATTTACTTCGTGTGTGGTGGGGAGATAGAGGGAAGTTTGCTTCCCACAAACTACCTTCTGGAGATTGTCTTCAGCATCTGGCTTCTGACTTGGGCCTGAAGCAGAGGAAAAACATGGCTGCCAAGAAGTCAGGTAGACATTTTGTCCATCTCAAGCACAGGTGTCTTTGTTTCTATTGGGCTTCCTTTTAGGAGGAATATTCAAAGAAATTTTCAAAGTGCTACCAAGACTGTGGCCATCTTTCAAGTTCTTCCAAGAAAGTCTGCTAGGCTAGACTCAAGCTGGTTACCAAAGGCCTTTTTGAGAAATTGTATATTAAGTTAATAGAAAGACCATCTTCCAGTGGTTCTCATCTTCCTGTGGAGGGCAGGTTTTTGTCCCATAGATTGCATTTAGGATACCTTTGCTAGAGTAACTTGATGCTCCTGCTTTTTGACAATCCAATAATCCTGAAAGTATCATGGTTATATTCTCTGGTCATATTCTTAAGCATTAGGACAGGTGAAGCCCCTTTTAAATGTAAATGATGATATTTAACTTCTATCTCATTGCATTTATTTTCTCCCATACTGCATAGTTGTTTCCTTAATTCAATGAGTTCTTCTTGATCAGTAGAGGTTTTAATGAATCAGCTTAAGCTTTATTTCTCATGTGACCACATGCTTCTCAATTTTTCTGAGCTTTGTGTGTGTGTTTGTGTGTGTGTCTGTTCACAGTACCCAGTGGTCCCATCTCCGTTGGGTGGATTCTTTTCTGTCAGTCTGTGGAAAATCTATTGAATGAATGCCTTTGCACGTTTTACTTCATTTTCTCAAGGAAAATCAAGTGGCTTTTAAAGATATGGTGAAAATTCACAGAATCGTTTTCAAACTGAACATTTTCTGTTTCCAATGAAGTCCTTCTAAGTACCTCCAAAATTTCAACTTAATGAATTTTAATTTGATCTCTAAATTCTTTAGCAAAGGACATATATGAAGTGATGAAAACAAAATATGCCATTGTTTCAAAGGAAATGAAAATACAAGCATAGCTTTTCGAAATCAACAAACTTGACGTTCTCTTCCCCCAACCCCTCTTAAAGAAAGATTTATTTATTTTTACTTTGTGTGTATGGATGCTTTTCCTGTAAGTACACATATGCTCTGGTGCTCATGGAAGCCAGAAGATTCATGGTGCTCATGGATTCCCTGGGACTGGAATTAAGAATAGTTATGATCTACCATGTGGGTGCTAGGAATCAAACCTGGCTCCTCTATAAGAGCAAATGCTTCTTCCAAGACCTTTTAACTGAAGATACATTCTTAAATTCTAATTTCTCAGTAGCTTATTTTCCCAGTGTTTGATAATATGAGTATTGTCCTTGGTTACTGAAATAGTATTGATGTGAGAGTGAGTTACATATGTGACTTTGTTCTATTGTCTCTGGTGCCTTCTGGAAGCAAGAAAGTTTCCTTTTTTTGTGTTTACAATAAGAAACATGCCTGCCATTTAACTATAGTAATAAAGTGAACAACTTAAAAAGTACCACCACCATCATGTGTGTGTGTGTGTGTGTGTGTGTGTGTGTGTGTGTGTGTGTGTGTAGGTGATGTTTGTTTGGATTCCTTCGAGCTGGAGTTATAGCCAGTTGTGATCCATATGAAGTGGGTGCTAGGAACTGAACTTGGATCCTTTGCAAGGCAGCAAGTGCTCTTGACTGCTGAGCCATCTCTCCAGCTCTACATCTGGCTTTTTAATGTGGTTTCTAGGGATCAAAGTCAGGTTTTCAGGCTTGTGCAGCAAATGTTTTTCACTCACTGTGATCTTGCCTTAACAAAATCATCAACTGGCAAGCCACTAGTTTTTCCTTCCTGTTTCTAAGAGACTCAGTCTCCAATGATGAAGTTTACACACCCATGTAGAGCTTATGTGTATTTGGGGAAGGCTTTAGTACCTTGATTTATTCAGTTGAATAATGGCAATCGTATCTGCTGAGACATGTGAAAATGGTCTTGCTTATTGTCCACTAGGATTGCAATATTAACTTTCTTCTTCATAAACGATGAAAGACGGCAAAAAAATAAGACTTGTGAAGTGATTCTTTTGTGTTTCACTGTGAGAAAGAAAAACGTTAAATGCCTTTAAAACCCACATACACCTACAACTTAAACCAACTTTTTCAAAGTATGTGTATGTAGCTTGTATATTTATGTAGAAGCAGAATTTTGTTTATGTCTGTGTATACAATAACCTTACTTCTTTTCACTATAGAATGGAATGCAAATGTAAGAAATCACTCCAAGGATTTTAAAAAACATATTTGAGTCAATTTAAGGAAAGTAAACCATAAAAACTGTTTAAATTACCAGCCTTTATTTGATTTTGTTTATTTTTAATGAAATTTTTTTATGATATCTGTCTGGCTAAAATTCAGGATATATTTTGGAAAGTGCCCATCAACAAATTGCAAAGTTCTGAAACTTCCATCGTTTTAGAATTCTTCTTTTGTTAGACTTTTTACACTATTACTAGAAAAACCAAGAAACAGTCATTGAACAGAATTTACATACCTCTGTACTTATTATTTATCAGTGTATCTAGAGGCCTGAGATAGCCCAGGAATTTTTATTACACACTTCTTTTATGTTGTTAATTGGAGAGCAACAAATGTTGTATTTATTGCTACCATTTTCCCAGTGCCTACTGTAAAATGTATGTGTGACGAGTGGGTATCAGATAGTCAACAGTGAGAAGAATGGGCAGGTAGGCTTTTGAATTATGATCGTTGTAAGTATACGCCATGGAACAGTTTTATAAACATGCATGTGTCTCCACATGTCTAGTGGTCCTCATAAGAGTATCAGAAGGCTGGCATGGTGGTGCACACCCGAAACCTCAGCACTAGGTGAAGACAGGAAGATCAGGAAGGACCTCAAGGTCATCCTGGGCTGCACAGTGAGCTCAAGGCCAGCATGGACTACCTAAGACAAACCAAACAACAAGCAGCGACAGAAACACACAAGCACAATCCAAAGTGTCTTTCCTGTGCCAATGGGAAAGCTAAGAGACAGCACAGTCAACACACATTACAGTCATCCTGAGTTCACTACACGGCAGAATTTGCTGTGCTACCCATCAGATATGCTACAGCCAATTATTACATGGAAATCTAATCTGCAATCTCCATAGGAAGATGTGGAAATTCTGTTTATGATTTATTCTCATGTATATACCTTCAGTGATCACTAGTTTGTTCTGTATGGTAGAATGCAGAGGAGCAAGCCACTCAAAAGGAAATTAAAGAAAGAAAACCACATAACTTGATTAAATGACCAAACCTATTTGTTTTGTTTTTAATTTACTCTTTCAATTTTTCTTTTCTTTTAATTAAAAAACTTTTTTATTGATTCTTTGTGAGTTTCACATCATGCACCCCAGTACCACTCATCTCTCCATTCCCTCATATCTGCCCTTCACTCTTGCAACCCCTCAAAATAAAACACACACACACATCAAAAACAAAACAAAACAAAATATAAAAACAAAGCATATAAAAACATCTCACTGTGGAAGCTGTAGTGTGTCACAGTGTGTCCCACAGTATATCCCTCTGTCCACACACCTTCTCCTGCAAATGTTCATTGCAGTGTGTCATTGGTCTTGTTCGAGATCTCTGGTTTCTGTGACACCATCAATATTGGATCCTAATTGGGTCTCCTCCCGTTTATCCTGTTGTTGCCCTGTGTCACGGACTTCTAGCAGCTTTCGATCAGCAGGACTGGCCCTTTCATGCATCCCAACCATTTGCAAATGATAAAGATTTGGGAGTGCCCAAGGCAGAGCACTGGATGTGGACCTGCAGGGTGCTGAGCTGGTCAGTATGCCGGCTGTTCTTTACTCACACCATCAGGGCAAGCTCTCCGGCACAACCCACCCAGTGCCATCATAGGCAGGATGTTGGGTCAGCCCTCTGTTCTCGTGCCCTCAGGGTTGGCTAACCCATACCTATGCCTCCAGAGCTCGGTCCACTGTGCTGCCCTGTCAAGGCATCGGTCCCACATTCCCAAGTGCTGCAGCTGGAGAGGGTCAGGGCAAGCTCTATGGTTCTCATGACCCTGTGGGCAGTTTTCCTGAATGCCACAGTCTGTTCTCCTACACTCATGCTTTTGGGACCTGCTCACTCATACTCGTGCCACCAAGGCCAGCTCGACTGTGCTGCCTGGGCAGGTGCGGGGCCCGCTCTGCCTTGGGTGAAGAGGTGGGCCAGAGTGCCACAACCAGTGAGGGGCAGGGCCAGTTCTGAATAGCTTCTGATCATCCACATGGTCCCACCGCCCCCAAGCCCCTCCACACCACCCCTCCATAGCCCCAACTGGAAACATCCCAGTGGTCTCTAGTGATAATGTGAGTCCCAAACATCACTGACCCCTGCTGCTGCATAGGCACAGACCCAGAAGTGGCCCTCAGTGGCATCTTGGGCTGGGACCTCACTATGAGCCCAGGTAGCAGGGCTGGCCACTAGAGACAGGCTGCTCCTTCCCACCCTTGTTCTCCAGCTGCCTCTTCATGGTGCTCAAGCTGCTTCACCTCTCTTTCTTCCCCATCTGTCCACTGTATACTTGCACATTGGGGTGGCTCCCGCTGCAGGCTGACCACGTGGCTTGAGGACCCCTGGGTGACAGGCATGGTGGCAGGTGGGTGTCTATGTCTTGCCTGAGCCATGTGCAGAAGGGCAGGCCTGTTGGTGATATGACGGAACACAGGTCTGTCCTGTTCTGTGCTGCCTGGATTTGATTTGATTTCATTTTTATGTGTCTTAGGCATGAGACAGCTTTGGCCACCAAGCGGGGCACCGAGCTAGGATGAGCAAAGGTCTGCCCTCTGCTCGGCCCCTGACTGACATAAGAACGTCACCACCAACAAGGTGTCTCTTTTCTCATTGCCAGGGGCAAGGGGCTGTTTCTTTATAACCACATTCTTTGACTAAATTTAAGTCCATTCTTTCAGAAGATGACTTGTATGTTATAAAAGTTACGTTTTCCACCTGATATCTTATATATAGCTAAGGTGCTACAAAATAATTCCTGGTCTTTTATAGATTTATTATTTTAAACACAATATGCATTACTTTTACATGATAATTTTATTTCATCCAGTTATAAAGCTGTCGTTTTCTAATTTACTCTGTTCTATTGGTATCTCAAATTGCTATTATACATTCTTCCACCACATTTCATATTCACAGTTCTAACTGAATTTTTGTGACCTGGTGTTCACAACTTTCTTGGGGCTGGAGACATGGCTAAGTGATTAAGAATACTTGCTGCTCTGTAGAGAACTCACAACCATCCTTAAGTCCAGTTTCAGGGGCTGGAAATCCTCTTCCAGCATCTGTAATATATCATGGACACACATGATAACACATACATGTATGCAGACAAACGATCTTACACATGAAACGGAAGTCTTTAAAAAGGTAAACGAAACAAAGAAACAAACAAAAACCAACCCTCAAACTCTTGGATTTCTTTATGTAGCCTAGCAAGACAACTTCGCAGTTCTCTTTTACCTGACCCATACACGTACCGTGTTTCAGTCTGAAGTAGGACGCGCTCATGAAATTGTAGGTGAATACTGCAGATGGTCACTATTTAATAAGGATTCCCCAGACTCTGACATGCAGTCATTTAATTTTGTTCATGCACGTGTTTGCTTGGAAAGAACTCTAAGAATTCCAAACTGGTGTGAAAGAGCCCATGTTTTAGAACAATTTTGCATCTATCACAGTGTAAAGGATTTCACATGTATTGATTTCAAGACTGCCTTCTACTACAGGAAGGTAATGAGGTGACTCTCTCAAGCTTCTGTTTAAAGTGGACTGTCTTTGTGATGACTCTATTAGAGATTAAAATGGAGCTATTAATTCAGATACACCCTTTTATTTTATTGATTGAGACTAGTTTAGGCCATCAATTTACTTACAATAACGACAAGCTCATTGAATGTCAACATAAATACATATTTTAATGAGAAGTAGCCACATTTGAAGATCAATGGTAAAGTGGCACTGTCCCAATGTTTTTGCAAATCTCAAATACTTTGCTTGCTAGAATGTAGCAGGATCCTGGGCCAGCAAATACTTCAGCAGAGGCGGTCCTCAGACAGAGCTTTGGAGCTCACTTTAGGAACCCTTTACACAGCAAACCAGCTATTAACTTTTTTGTGCTTGAGTGTGCCCTATAAAATAAAACAAACAGTACTGTTTACCTTTCAGACATGTTTTGAGGGTTAAATGACTCTCCATGGTTTAGAAATTATAATGTGTTTAGCGTTAGAAATAATCATTGTTGTAGCCAGAAAAATACAGTTTCCTCTATCTTGGATTATTCCCTATGTCACTGATTTTCAATGTTTTTTTTTTCCCAAAACCCAAATTAATATTTGTTTATTTTAAATCAGAAAATAAAAGAAATATCTTTAATAATTATTAGCTTTCAGGTAATGTTAATCTTTTGATTGCTATATAATCGCTATATAACTATACCTGAATTATTCATAGGGATTTCAATAGGTACTTTATAAAATAAGAGCTAATCCCCAACTTTTTTTTTCTTTTTTTGAGTCAGAATTTCAGTTATCTCAGGCTGGCTCTCAACTTGAGGTGTAGATGAACACAACCTTGAATTTCTGATCTTTCCTGCCCTCATCTCCCAAGTGCTGGGTTAGAGGCATGCACTACCACATGCTGATAGCGTATGTGATATTGGGGCAAGTAGTCTACCAACTCAGCTCTATCCAAACCCTTCCTCTTTTCATTTTAATGACCTGAAAGTGTTATCTATACACATACACCCCTCTTCCTTTACATATTTGGGGTTTACATTAAGTTTTGGTGAGTTGGAAGAATGTAGGAAAGTATAAACTTATTAAATAATCAACTACTATGTATTGCGCACAGGACAGGTGTTCTGCTGAACTGTGGTATACAGTCTAATTGTCAAGGACATATGTTGCACTAACAAAGAGCAAAATAAGCAAGTGGTTAAGAATATGAGGACATATGAAGTGGACTTTCATGTTGTATTTTATGATTTGGATATGATCAATGTGTCACATGCCAGCATTTCAAGGATATTGCTACTCTACTATGATATCTATACAATAATCAAGAGGAAGTGACTATAATAACACAAAGCACCAAGAGTGTCAGTTGGTATATGTGTTGTTTGCAGCTTTGATCCTAACTAGTAATATTATCTGAATAAAATACCAGAACAATTGCCTCATTTTTTTCAGTTAAAAAGATAGGCAGCTGTCTAAAACCTCTCAAGAATAACTTTCACATTACTATTCTCAGAATGAAGGTTTTGAAATGTTTGAATGAGAAAGTGAATTATTTTTCATTCTGACAGGCTTGTTTGCTTTCCACACTGGAGGGAAACTTTGCACCCTGTGCACACTTAGCAGGTACAGCAACACTGAGATGCACCTTCCTAAGCTACAGCATAGGCGGGAGGAACTGTTCAGTTCATCTTTGTGTTCCTAGAACAGGGCAAATTCTGTTTGCAAATTCCGTGCACTCTGAAACCCTGTTTCTATGAGCAAATGCTCCCCAAAGACTTGTAATTATGAAATCTGGATTAAGTTAAAGCAGAGGGTTGAGACTCTTTTCCTGGAAAAGGACTCCGAGCCTTTTATAAAGAAGAAAGATTTCAGGTCACCGGCTAAAGTGCTTTGGAAGTTGTGCTTAGGCAACTACGGTCCCATTTTATTTTGTTCCAGTAGATGGCACCAGGGTCTCAGGTAAAAACCCAGTTTGAGGCAAAACAACAAAATACATAATAAACAAGTCTTTTTTTCTATTTAAAACGTAGCAGATGTCATAAAGATTCAAGGAATTATTATATGAATAAACATATCTGTACAAATAAATGGAAATTAAATATTCATCAAAAATTGGTTTCAAATTTTTGAAAATCAAACCTAAAAGTTGTGGAAGACTAGACTGAAGAGAGAAATAAACATAAACTTGGAGATGATAGTTCTCTGCTGAAGCCTCCAGGATGCTCTTTAGTTACATTTTTTTCTTTGTAAGATTTGTTTTTTAAATATTAAAAAAAATCAGATTATTTACTCCGTGTCTAGCTATACTCACTAGCTGTTCACAGTTCTGATGCAGACCTGGAGATTAAAGAAAGCAAGTACAGGTTGGTATCTAGGAGTCACTAAAGCAGCAACAACAAACCCCACCACTAACTTTGGTTAAGATCTCCTCACTGGAATGTCTGAGGTCTTCTCACTGGAATGTCTGAGGAGATCTCCTCACTGGAATGTGAGGAGATCTCACTCACTGGAATGTCTGAGGTCTTGTCTGAGGAGCTCTCCCTCACTGGAATGTCTGAGGAGATCTCCTCACTGGAATGTCTGAGGAGATCTCCTCAATGGAATGTTTGAAGAAATCTCATCAGAAGCCTTGACTCTTTTTTGTGAATTTTAGGATTTTCTCAGTGGAGAGAGACGTAGTTTCCCCCTTCCTTCTGAAATCTAAGACCAACAAGTGCTTACCCTTGAAGTCTTTTGTTTTCTTTGATTTTCTGTTTCTAGTTTTTGAGACAGAGGCACATCATGTAGCCCAGGCTAGGCTAGAACATAAGATTCTCTTCTGTCCTTAGTGCAGGGACTCTTGATTTAGAACAATTACTCCTTATTTCTTCCTCTTCTTCTAGGGAGCCAGAATACCTTGGATGTACCATTTGCAACTCTTAACTTTGACACAATCACTGTTTGTCTTCACCCTTTTCTAGGTTTAATAGTCATTACCAGCTGATGAAAATACAATGTTTGTAAAATTAACTAGTATTTTCTAATATATTTAAGAAGTATGATAATATTATATCAACATATTATAAGTGTTCTCATTTTCTTTAACTAGATAGAAGTAATGATTAGGGAAATCCATCTCTACATAAAAAGTTTTAAAATACTGTGAGAAGACATTTATACAGAGAAAATTTTCATGGAAAATGAATGAAATAATCATTACACAGTAATCAAAAATATAGAAGCACAAAGACACACAGTGAAGTTTTGATTTTGTAGTTAAATGATTGTTTTTAAAATAACTGCTTGGTGACTTATTGTGACTTTCCAAAACTCCAGACCTTTCTTTTTGCCTTCACCCATTCTCACTCACTGACTCATTCACTTAGGCTTTTGTGTGGTACCTTCACCAAGTGAAGACAAGATAGAGGAATGGAAGTCAAGGTGAGGACCTTGGATAGGACAAGAAGCCACAGTCTCCTGCCATCCCCAGTGCAAACACACACGTATCCACAGACTTTAGTTTTCTTTGATTATTTCAGTCTGTGGAGTAACTATAGAGTAACCAGCTGGTGATGTGTTTGAATGAAGTTCTGCTGTGATTTTGATCCTAGGTGCTTTCTTGGAGTCAACCTCATAAGCAGGTACATTTTTATTTTCCTTTGGAGTAATTTATTTTTCTAATTTTTTTTTTTCGATTTTACTTTGTTATGAAAGGACACAGGGTCATGGGTCCAGTGCTTTTAAGAATTAGAAAGGGATCAATAGAGAAAGGGGATTTTCCTGTTCCCTGCCTGGTATTTTTTTAGGCGTGTTTGTTGGCAAAAAGTGGTGGGACTTGATTGCTGGCTCTGCTTCATGCCAGCGGTTATGGTGGACAGTGGGAGACAGTAGCGGGCCACAGGGAGAAGCAGCCCAGAGCATTGAAATGCCATGGAGCCTGCACAAGCGCTTTCACCAAGTGTTCTCATACTTAGTGTACATTGTGTTTGAAGCGAAGTTCTTTATTATCCCCCCATCTTAAACTACAGAAACAGGGAGATTATTGAAAAATTATTATTTAAAAACTTTGCCTGTCCATAGGCACCAGTAGTGTAGCTTTAAGTATGGTGGTATGAAAGCACTTATTTT